GAGGAGGTTTGGACTCCAGACTAACTTAAATTTGCTTAAACTGCCACATGTAATGAGAATATTCTCTGAGGTACTGTGATGGAGAAGGGATCATTATGGGCTACTGCAGGAGAGATTATTGCTGTGATTCATGTTGGAGCAAATACTTGGGAGAAGCAGACTTAGAGTCCCATAAATTAAGGGAGACGCATGCATAATTCCACATGAAATAGGCAACAGCTCCACGTTTATGCTGAAGATTACAATATGGTCTTTTCCAGGCAAGCAAACACAAGCTAAAACTACTCAACGTTGAACCTCCCAGATAGATGCCAGGAAGGATCCACATGGTACGTCGTTAGGGCATAATAGTGCTGTGCCTGGACCAATATACCTCCCCTCTCAAGAGGATTTTACAGATGAAGCACAGCACTGGACTAAATGTGGCTGGATGCCTCCCAAGGTGCTGGCTTCCAGCTGGGTGCTTACGGCATCAGCATAAAAAGACTTGCAGATATATATATATATATGCGCGTGGAAGACCGTGTTAACATAACTGTACATACAAGGGTGAAAAACAGTTCAAACACAAAGAATTTAAGCTTGAGGATCTCTATGGGTATTTTTCCAACAGGTGGAAAAACAGGTCGTGCCCTAGCTAAGCTGACAAACAGAGCGATGCCAGAGCGTTTAAACTACCAACCAAGGCAATCTCTACAGCAAGACTTCTGGAGTACAACAGGAAGAAATAAAATAAGCAGATAAATGGTGACCAAATATTATGGTATAGGCCCTGAAGGACAAAGAACTAAATTATTAGGAAAAAAAACCACAGGAATGTATACAGAAAGAAATGAAAGTAATAAGGAGGTAACCTGAGGTAGGCAAATACATGTGCGGGAGCCATAAAAAAAAATGCAACTGAAATGAAAAGATCCAGGGCACATATCCACATATGGCAGAAATTCTGATATTACAGACAAGTGAGAAAAGAAGAAACAACTGCTGAATATCAAAGTATCCAGTTTCAATTAATATTGAAAAACAGAGAAAATAAAGAGAAAAGCCATGGGAAAAACCATCCAAAAATTAAATTAGATTTTGGATAATCACAGAGGGTTTTTAAATCTATAAAAAAAGGCATTTTGGCAGCATGTGGAATTTAAACAAATGTTGGAATTTACATATCACCAACCCAACAGCCGATTAGACAGATGAGAGAGTTCTGGGCAGGCATCAGGAAATTTGCAGCAACCCTCCAAAAATACAAGCAGCCAAAGCAGGGGTCATAGCTCTTTCAAGGACAGCTCTCTCGCAGGTCCGATCGGCAT